GGCCAACCCACCACACCTTCGTCTGGTCCTGAACATAGCACCTCTACCTCCTCTCGACGACGGCGTCGCCATCGTTGCCAGCAGCCTCCTGAGAGCAGAGACGCACTATCAGCCCAGGTGTTTCCGGATCGGCAAACTCAGCACGAGCTTCACCCGTCATCTCCTCATCCTGTTCAAGCGGTGGTCCCAGAGGATGCATCGCATCCTGCTTCAGCGGTGGTCCCGGAGGATGCATCGCATCCTGCTTCGGCGGTGGTCCCGGAGGACGCATCGCATCCTACTTCGGCGGTGGTCCCGGAGGACGCATCGCATCCTGCTTTGGCGGTGGTTCCGGAGGTCGCGCCATATCCAGTTCCAGTGATGATCCTCGAGGTTGCGCCGCATCCTGTCAAAGAGGCTCCGCCCAGTCCAGCCCGTCCACGAGGTTCCGGTCCAGCCTGTCCAAGAGGCTCTGCCCAGTCTGGTGCCTCCAGGCCAGAAGTCAACGGCTCAGAAGTCAACGGTTCAGAAGTCGACGCCTCCACTGAAGTCCCCTCCAGAGTCTACATCCCAGCCTGCAGTGTTCTCCTGCACTGCCCCCACAAGAGCCTACGTCCCCACAAGACTACGTCCCCACAGTCCCCGTTGCCTGAGTCCTTTCCCCGTCCTCCTCCTCTAGTGTTCCCTCTTAGTCTTCCTCCCCCTCTAGTGTCCCCTCTTAGTCGTCCTCCTCTAGTGTCCCCTCTTAGTTGTCCTCCTCCAGTGTCCCCTCTTAGCCGTCCTCCTCCAGTGTCCCCTCTTAGTCGTCCTCCTCCTCCAGTGTCCCCTCTTAGTCGTCCTCCTCCTCCAGATTTCCCAATCCCTGTACTTCCCTGCTCCTGGTTCCCCGTCGTCGGCCTCCTGTTCCCTCCCTTTTAGGTTGTTTTTGTTTGTTCCCTCCCATCCCTCCCTCTGGTTTTTCGTGTCCTGTTTTGTCTCGTCTTTTGCTTGTTGTGTTTTGTTCGGGTTTTGGCATCTGGTATCCGCCCCTTGGGGGGGGGGGGGGGGGGGGGGTTGTACTGTCATGGTCTGCGTCTTCCCTCATGTGTCTCCTCGTGTTCTCCATCCCTCTCTAGGTTCCCCTTTTGTGTCTCATAAGCTCCCTCATGTGTCCTTTGTCTGCGTTCCATTTATGTGTCTCTTTGTGTTCTTCATATGTCTCCTGTTTGCAGTCCTCCAGATCATTCCTCCCAGGCCCTGTGTTCATTCAGTCATCCCCAGCTCCTCCAGGTGTTCCTTCACGTTCTGTGTCCTTGTAGCTCCAGCCTTTTGTCCCCAGCTCCCTCCTGGTTTTCTTCATGTCTCTTAGCCTCCCCACCTTAGTTTCTTTAGGTTTTTATTTCAGTTGTGTGTGTGTGTATGTGTCCTTCCCCAGCTCGGTGTGTATATGTGTGTGTATGTGTCCTTCCCCAGTCAGGTCTGGTGTCCTCCCCTGCTCCTTTCTGCTCCTCCTCTTAATTATTGCTTTCACCTGTGCCAGTTCCCCACACACCTGCTCCTCGTCTCCTATCTCTCCAGCCCCAGTGTATAAAACCCTCTCCTAGTCTCAGTGTTGTGTCGGTCCATTGTTGTTTCTGTCAGTCTCGTCTCGTTCTCCTCTCTAGTCTCGAGTGTTTTTTAGGTCTCGAGTGTTGTTTTTGGATTTTGTGTTTTGGCTCCCTTCCCTCGAGGATTTCTCCTAAATAAAAGATTTTTATTTTTACCTTCCTCCTCTGCCTCATTCATCTGCATTTTGGGTCCTTTGCCTCCTCCTCCAACCCACCTTGTGAAAAAAAGTTACTCTGAAAAATCAAGAAATTGTCTACGGACAGCAAAAATGCTAAGAAAGCAGCTTATTACCACACTGGGTGAGCGTCTGTGGCTGCAAACGTCAGGTTCTGCAGTCTCCTTCAGTCGTGGTATCATCTGCTTTCTCTTCCAACATTTACAGATGCAGCAACTCTACAGGTGTTTTGTAGAAAAAAGTTACTCTGCTGCTGACCATCATCTGCATCGCTGTTGCTGAAAACAGCCGCACACTGAGTAAACAAGCCACAAGGCTACTTTTACATATATTCTTAATATTAACATGTTATTAATGTCAATGGTAAATTCTACTTTATTTTAATGTATATTAATATTAACACGTTTCTTATTAATGTAAATGGTAATTTATTATTTATTTTAACACATAGTAATAGTAAAGTGACAATGTGTAGTTTTTAACCATTAATCCCAGGAAATATCCATTGAAATGTATTAAATTATTTAAAAGATGCCCCGTTGTTGGAAAATGTTGGTGCTTTCATAACATATAACCAAAAAAATCTGTTCTAAAATACATGGGAGCGGGTCTAAGTCTCTGGGCAACACCATGTTGGATGCCATGTTTCCTTATAGCAAGCACTGTTGGTAAGGTTTTACGCTAACAGAAAAATACTGCTTGCATGCAATGATTTAGGTATGTACTGCCCCCTATTGCCCGGGAAAATACACACAGTCACTTTAACTACCGTAAATCCTCTAATACAGGCCCCGGCCTGCTACCTGGGTTCATATATATTCACCTTATGAGTTACCTTTGAACTGCAGTTCTAAAAGATCTACCGACCGCAAAAACAGCGGAGTGCTCGCTGCTTGGCGGCCGCATCAGTGATCGGTGCGTCACCGGAGGACAAGGTGATGCGCCCCGATCCACAGCAGCGAAACGCATCAGGCACAAATAAAAGACAGAAAACATAAAAGGAAATGAGCCGACATAAACGATTGCATGTTAAATTAGTTTTTGAGGTGGCGACACCTGATTTGATTATGCTACTGTGGCCGTGCTCAGGACGCAGATGTCTGGAGCGCGTCAACATTCAGAGCTTTGCATGCGCAAGCTGGTTAAGGTTAGAATGGGGTGAGGGGAAGGTTAGATTGCAAGAGGGAAAAGGTCACAATTTGGTTAAATGTCCGTTTTACGGCGGTGTCAGTACCGACGGTCTGGCACAGCGCCTTGCCCCCCACCCCCACCCCCACCCCCCACCCAACACGCAGGAGCTTGTCACCTGCTGACAGCAGTCTGCTGTCTTTTCCGAGGGCTGCATCTTGCCGGTCATTGTCACGTGACAGCAACTAGTTGATAATGGGCCTAAAAAGTCCCTATAGTGAAGTCGACTAGTTCATACAACCCCTATTGCTCCCCACAGTGTTCTGCAGCATAATCAGCATGTTCTTTTCGAACTTGATATCAAATTTTCGCCTCCTCTTCGTCTCCGCACCTGCCAAATCGCGGTCTGTCACTGGCAAATCAAAAGTGAGACGGATGACACCCCCCCCCCCCCCCCCCCCTCCCCGTGGTACTTGCTTGTTACCACATTCCACCCGGCCACATTAAATACCGGCCATTATTCACCTCCGCCGACTCTGACACCGGCCAAAATATGATACCCGGCCATTAATTGAATACAGGCCAATATTAGAGGATTAACGGTACTTTAGCTTAGTGAGGTAGAATTTTAATTAGATGTTGGGTTGGAGCTGCTGGGTTTTAATCTAACTGTATTTGTTCTGACTGCTGGAACTTATGCTATTTCATACCTTCAACAGAATGGATGGGAACAGTATATGTTAAATTATTATCATTGACACTACTGAGATGTCATCTTTAATTAAATATAAGTCATTTCCGTGAGCCGTTACAGCAACAAAATGTAACACTCATTCTGTTACTCTACGGTTTATCACATTCAGTTTCATGTTGAACCATTTTTTCTTTATTTCTGACATGGACCTCTCCTCTGTTCTGACTGCATTTATGACTTTTAGCCTACTGGTTAGTTCTGAGCTGAGAGAACTTCCAACTTTGGAAGCCACAGAAGGTCACAGAAGGTTTTTATTTCTCCAGGAAGAACGCAGGGATTTCCCTTGTGAACTTTAGAGGATGTGGTGTGACCAAATATGGTTAATTGAGGGTGTTTCTGTATGTAAATGACTGGCGGACTCTCAAATCTGGAACTGCAGAGAAAAAGAAGAAGAAAAAAACCCGGAAGACTGGAGACTGATGTTTGCTGTCCTTGAGGCTTGCCGTAGTTGTAGGAGGAGACGACCGAGTTTATGGGGGTTGGAGGTAGAAGAAGAATGAAATGCATGTGGGAAGTAAGCCGAGGTTTGGGGATCCGTTTTATTTCATGGAAACACGGCAACATTACAGAGACGCTCGCCCAGGAATGGCAGAATCTCCAACAAATGCAAACGCGCTTTCAAAGTAAAACAAAAGCGACAACGTGGAAGTGACTGAGCCGACGTGTTGGCATAAGCGATGTGTGAGCAGTTCTGGAACATCTGGGCATAGACGTGAATAATAATTCCTGTTTATGGATCTCCTTCATAGACCTGCTTCAACAGTCCAAGGAGATGGAGCGAGTTGTCCAGTAATCGGACGGTTGTAGGATCATTCCCGGCTCCCAGCAGAGATGGCTGCTGTTGTGTCCTTGGGCAAGACACTTGACCTTAATTGCCTGCTGGTGGTGGTCGGAGGGACTGGTGATGCCGGTGTTCAGTGGCCCACCTCCGTCAGTGCAGTTGTGGCTACGTTGTAGCTCATCACCACCATCGTGTGAATGTGTGAACGACTGACTACTGTAAAGCCCTCTGGAGTCCTCTGACTCAGAAAAGCTCTACAAGCACAGGTCATTTCTCATTTACCCTCACTAGAGACGAACAGAACGTTAGATTACCGATCGTTACCCTGTGTGCATCCACGGTGCATGACACAAAACCGTTGCTGTCGCATGAGTAGAAAATAACCAAATAAAGGCCCGGCTGTACATAATTAGAACCATCGGCATGAGTCTGCAGGTTTCACACAGAACACAAAGCTCCAACTGTTACCAGGACACCTAAACACCACACAGGAACAGGACTGACTCTGAACTGGGTCTACAGGTACCAGTATCACAGAACCAGTTTAGTAACCAGTTTTACTAAATCTGCCAGGACGGGGGTAGCTCAGCCCTTACTGCTGTGGGGGAGCCAGGCTGGGGGATGGTACTTGTCTCTGATTGGTCGGAGAGCACTACTGAAGACGGAGCCTCTCAGCTGGGGCGGAGCCTCTCTGTCATCATCATCCTCTCCTTCAGACAGCAAGTCGCCGATCTGCTGCTGCAGCTCTGGACTGATGTCATTCTCAACCAGAATCAGAACTCGCAGGCTGGTCGGGTAGTTCTCCACCATGTCCAGGAACACCTGCACACAGGTAATACCTTCAAGATGCTAATCATTATTCACAGACACACACAGAGGAGAGAGGTGGTCAGTGTCCCCTCCCGCTGGACAAGCTGCTGAATCAAGAAGATGCAGCCCACTTCCCTTTGAATGAGCAGACTGGACCAGTACAGCTTCAGCTCACCTGAGCAGAGCTGGAAACTACACAAAGTTCTGGAATGACTCTGTGGTTCTGTTACTGAGAACAAGGTTCAGCTCCTGACAACGTCTGCTATTGAAGATGATGGTGATAACTTGAGTGAATTACAGGAAAAAACGAGTGCTCTGATTGGTTAACCTGTGCTGACTGGTTGGTCAGTCCCGTTCCTTCCAGATCCAACACCTCCAGGGTTCTGCTGGATGCCACTGCAACTGCCAGCATGGATGCAATTTGGTCTCCTGCAGGTAGAACCAGAACTAAAGAACCAGAACCAGAACTATGTTTTTACTTTCTTTGAAATTGGATGTGCTACTACTAGTTTACCTGTTTAATTATAGATTCACTAGGATAAATACAATAAAGTTTATCTCTCACCAAATAGAATATTTACTAACAAATCACAATGTAACCATAGAAATATTACTTGGTGTGTGTGTGTGTGTGTGTGTGTGTGTGTGTGTGTGTGTGTGCGTGCATGCGTGCTCTGTCTTCTTGATCCCCAGTGAGTCGTGGAGGATGGCTGCTTATACTGAGCCAGGATTCTCTGGAGGTTTCTTCCTGTTAAAAGGAAGTTTTCCTCTCCACTGTCGCTAAATGCTTGCTTAGTATGAGGGTTGCTGTAAAGACTCTGACACCAGTCAGTGACTCGATGCAATTTGCTGGGTTCCTTACATAGGAAGCTTTTTACTGATTGGCTTAATGAACTGACCTGTATTGGAATGTTTACTGTGTGAAGTACCTTGAGACGACACTTGCCGTGATTTGACGCTATAGAAATCAACTTGAATTGAATTAAAGGATTATTGAAACAACAAGTGTGAATTCCTCATGCTGAGGCTGAGGTTGTTACCCAGCGGGTTGTAGTCCAGGTTCAGAACCCGAAGCTGTGAGCTGTGGGCCACCGCGATGGAGATCCGGGCCCAGCCTTTGGAGCTGATTCCTGGGTTAGCGCTGAGAGTCAGCTCCCTCAGACCTACACACACACAGAGACACACACTTACACATGGGTTGTAACGAGAAGTGAATTATGGGTAATTAACTGGTGAATAACAGGAAATTAAATGTTGTCGTAACTCTGAGGTTTCCTCAACAACTGGTTCTAGTATGTTCTAGCAGATTTTAACAGGTTCTAGCAGGTTTTAACTGATTGTAGCAGGTTCTAGCGGGTTTTAACTGGTTCTAACAGGTTCTAGCGGGGTTTTAACCAAGCTCCCACAACGCGACTCAAAAATTGAGCCCAACCGGAAGTACCAAAAATTGCAGTTCCACCCTCATCCGCTGGGGGCTGGTGTCAGAAGCGAGCAAATCCTCACTGACTCCCATGTTAAAAATACCAATTTCACAGCAGAAATAAACATGTTTACAGCCTGGTACCAAAACATGTTTTTGGTTTAAATGATCTAGTTTACACTCATGACAAGTCTGAGGGGGGTGAAATTTTTTCTCACTCTTCTGTTTAAGTGTATTAAAAGCCTAAAATTCTGTATAATTAATGAGCATCCGACCCACGTGACCACAGAGCTAGCTCCGTGGAAAGGCCTCAGTAGAGCCTCGGTCTGGCCTGGAAACTGTTCCGGCATTTTGAGTCTCTGTGTTTGTGTATTCTTTTTTGGATATTATTTGTTCAATTGTTGGACAAAATTACTTGCTGTGGCATTAATTGCACTAATAGAGCATCCAAGGAGTCTCCACTTCATTTTTTTCGGTAAGTAAAATTATATTTATGTATTTTAGGTCACTGCCGAGCTGAGCTTAGATTTTAACATGTACTGTTTAACTATGAAATTTTTATTCAATAGGGTAAAACCCAGTGCATTTAACATAATGCTGCACTGTAGAAAATGGGTTGAAATATAACATGTTGGTGGAGCTGGGTTCCGACTATCGGCTTGTGGATCTCTCGGGAGACCGATGTTTTCCACCCGGTTCTCCCCTACCCGCAGCTCGACGCATCTGTCTGATCGCGGCTTCTGTCTGCTGTGCGGCTGCCGGCTTGTGGAGCTCTCGGAGACCTCTGTGTTCCACCCGGTTTTACCCAGCGGTCAGCCCAGCGTATCTCTGACTCAGAAGCTCTGGTGTTGTGCACAGTTAACTCCGGTTGTAGCTAGGTTGCTACCTCCGTTAGCTCAGCTCCCACCTCCGCGTTAGCTTTGGGTTAGCTTCAGGTTAGCTTGTAGCTAGTTCGACCAGGTGTCGTCAGTTGATCCCAGCTTTACAGCCCCACCTTCAGCTCCACCTCTCTTCCCTTTTGTGGAATTGTCTGGGCTTGACGGAACCTGTGACACAGTCAAAATGGCGGTGGTGGCCACCTCCCATTTTGGCATAAAAACGTGTTATTGGAGCCTATGGAAATGAATTGTCCAGTATATATGTCGATGGTTTTAACCGGTTCTAACAAGTTCTAGCGGGGTTTAAACAGATCCCAACGGTTCTAGTGGGTTTAAACAAGTTCTAGCATATTTTTACAGGTTCTAACAGGTTCTAGCGGGTTTAAACAAATTCTAACGGGTTCCAGCGGGTTTTAACAGGTCCTAGCATATTTTTTTTACAAGATCTAACATATTTTAACAGGTTCTAGTAGGCTCTAGCGGGTTCTAGGTGTAGTCAGAAAGGTTCCTTTACAGAGGGCCTGACTAAAGCTGCACAACACCACGGGCCTCATTTATTAAACTCCGTTGAATCCTCACTAAAACACAGCAAAAAAAGTACTTCACAAACAAATCTTCCCACCCAAAAAACCCTGCGTGCACAATTCCTACTTTTTCCTCTTCTCGGGTGTTCATGGATCATACCATGGATGTAATTTTTTGGGGGGGGACAGGGGGGACATGTCCCCCCGACTTTTTCCAAAGTCAAGTTTTGACCCCTGCACTTTTTACCATCCAAAAACAATATTATGCTATATTAAATTGACACTGGTTGAGCTCTAGGACCAAGCGTAAAACAACCGTTTGTGTTGAAGCCTGTTTCTCCTTAGAACATACTGTAAAGATACCCCCCCCCCCGTGTCTCCCCCCACTTCTAAAGTGAAGAGAGACGTGTGTGTGTGTGTGTGTGTGTGTGTGTGTGTGTGTGTGTGTGTGTGTGTGTGTGTGTGTGTGTGTGTGTGTGTGTGTGTGTGTGTGTGTGTGTGTGTGTGTGTGTGTGTGTGTGTGTGTGTGTGTGTGTTTGTTTCTACAGGAGGGCTGGGACAACATGGGGGTTGGGGTTTCGTAAGAGTGAGTAAAGTAAAGGGGGACAGGTGGGTGATGTGGGTGTAACATGACGCCCGGCTCAGCAGCTTCTCATCTCTTTAATATTCAGGTTGGGAGTGAAACCAGACCTGTGTTGGGTTGGGTTAGCACCTGGCTCACCTTCAGGTCTGGATCAGGTTTTTGTTACAGGTCGCTGATTCTGAAACCGAACCAACTTTTTCTTTTAGAAGCACAGGGAAGCTGCATTCACTGACCTCTGGAAACTCAGTTTTCCAAACATGAAAGACAGAACCCAGGGAAGTCTAATGTCATCAATCCTGAAAGTTGTTGATGTCTTTCTCTCCGGTCTGGATAACTGTTTATCTCTGAAACAAAACAGACTTTCTCTATCCACACTGAGCTTCTTTTCTTCTGAGGGACCATTTGAAATTATTTACCTATGTATCAGTGCTGCTGCGTTGGACTAAAGGCGGTTCTGATCCAGAGCTCTTCAGGTGTTTCTTACCAGACTTGGCGCCGTCCGGCGGCAGCATCCCACAGATCAGAGCCAGAGCCTCGTCCCCCAGCATGCAGTCTCCTAGGTCCAGACAGACTAGTGCCGGGTGGGTAGACAGGGCCGGATTCAGAGTCACCAAGCCCGCATCCTGCAGCGGGCTGCCATGGAGGCTAGCAGAGCGAGGACAAAGTGTCACCAACCAATCACGTCCCTTTTTCTGTCAATCATTCAAGAGTCGGTCTACTCACAACAGGGTCTGTAGGGAGCGGTTGGTCTTCAGGGCCTCGGCCAGGTGGCGTGTACGGCTGATGCTGGAGACCACACCTAGATTAAGGTTGAGCTGCGCCAGAGAGGTGGACGCTGCCACACTGCGGCAGACCTGTCCAAAGTCCCGGTCTGACAGCTGACAGCCGCGGATGGACAGCAGGTGGACTCCATCGTCCTTCAGACTCTCACAAATGTCCTGGACCTCAGCTGAGGACAGCAACTCCCCAGTGATCTGGATGGAGGCTGGAAGCATCTGGACACCTGGGAGGACCACAGGGACTGTGGAGGACAAGAAGACACAATTTCACACAGTCTCCATGTCCTCTGGCTGCTCTGGACATCTGAGACAGATTATGTTGGGCTACTGGAAACCCAGACCGCTGACGGGTCTAGACCAGTCCTTGTTCAGGGACCAGTCCTCGTTCAGGGACAGAACCAGATCATCTTGATGGAAAGACATTAGAGAAGGAAACTAACAATCATCTCAGGTGTCACATCAAACAATCAACGTTCAAAGACTTCTGATCAGCTGATCCAACACTGTTCATCAAACAACCAATTAACCTGACAAAGGAGATCAATCAATCAGCTTGCGCAGGAAGAGTCCAGACTGTCACGCGCTGATGTCATCATTACATGATTCCCCGCAGGCCACGCACCGGTTCTGATCCAAAGCGCCGGCTCACGGGACCGATGGATAGAAGTATTGATCGGTTATACGGGCAGCGATGCGTTGGGTCTGTGTGCTGCAGCCGGACAGGAGGAGGTCTGTCTGTCGGTGTGCTGAGCCCACGAGTCCCGGTGTTTCTGCAGATGAGCGTTACTACGAGACCAGAGAGAGGAGAGCGCGGTAGGAGAGCTCACTCTGAGCACTTTACCGGAGCCTGTTTAAAATACCAACAATTAATAAATCCTGTTTTGATGCTAATGTTCAAACTGTCATGGTCCAAAGTCACGATCTCCTTCACTCACGTGCCCACCAGACTGGTTTTGTTTATTATTAATGAGTCTGTAGATCTAAATCAAGATTTTCACTGCGTGAGTATCTAGAAGGAAACTGAACTTGAACTAGACGGAGCCAATCCTCTTGCACGACGTCACGTCCTGCTCAATCAGAGGAAAGTAGTCGATCTGCGTCAGACGCACGTTAAGGAGTGACGTCTGGACGCATACAGAAGTGTCAAAGCAGCAGCTGTAGCTAGCAGCGGCTAACAGCGGACAGAAAGGTAGGGACTCACCTGTAAACGTAAACACACAGTCACATAAACAGACGCTAACTTACCAAGCTGCACATGAAAACAACGGCAGGTAGCTGGGCCAGCGCTAGGCCGCGTTTCCGTCCGGTTCTGTCGGGACAGCAGTGGGTGAGACCCACCTGAGCAGAGCCGAAGCGAATGCTACCGTTTAGCTTCTGAGTCGCAGTCCTGTCCTAAGCTGCGCTAATACTACAACCGTGAAGACAAAGATCCGGGAAGACCAGTTGCATGCTGGTTAACCCTGCTGCCCTACATGCTGGACACTGCTGTCTTAGTCCATTTGTGTCTCCTCAGTCATTCTGTCCCCGTGTCTTCACAGAGAGCTTTCTGTCCTCTGTGGATGGAAGTGTGCAGCTCAGCGATGGGACCAGAGAGAGTCTTGCCGAGGTCTGAGGACGAGCTGGGGGAGGACGAGCGTCCCGTGGACGGAGCTGTGCTGCCTACTGGGGCTGTGTGGGGGGGCGGGGGGGAGGATGGGGCAGAGATGGAGCTGGATGGAGAGGAGGTGGAGGAAGAGGAAGAGGTGAGCAGCGGAGGATACTATTACCAGCCTTTAAACCAGGAGCCAGAAGGTCCTAACAGCAGCCAACACCACGAGGACACCGGGGAGGACAGAGAAGAGGTGTCCCACTCTGAGCAGCTGCAGCAGGTGCAGCACAGATTAGAGGTGAGGGAGCTGCATTTTCTGACTGGGTCCATTCAAAGTGATAAGAGGACAAGGACAGGAAGGTGTCTTCGTCTCAGCTGTCTCTTTCTGCAGGTGATGGGTCTACATCTCCCTGAAGCTCCACTATCTGACAGTGAGGAAGAGGATGATCCAGAGGGAGCAGCAGCCCAGAGGAGCAGAGCCTCCATCCCCATGGATGCTGGTGAGACGTCTACATGTCCTCCATTTGTCTTTTGTCCAGACCCTTTTCAATCAAGAAGAATCTCGCAGCAGGGCCGAGCTCAAATTGTGGCGGTGTCAGCCAGCCACGGCAGCCACGAGATTTCTGGCAACAGTCACCACAGACGTATATAAGGAGGTTCCCTGTGAACTGGCGCTGCCTATAAGGAGCCTAAGTCTACTTCTGAACCATGGGTCCCCAGAAGAACAACAAAAATGAATGCAAGTCAACGGGGCTAAAAACGCTATTTTCTAATTCCGCTTGTTTTGTGCCATGGATTTCACATTTGATGTCCGTGAATTTTAAAGATGCATTTTGATACCAAGAACGCTTATTTTCAAACGAGAACGTTATTTTAAGTTTTGTGTGAAAATAAGTGAAGGACTACAAATGCGCTTCACTAAAGTGACATCATGAAACCAGACACGGAGAAAAACAGGGAAAATGGCTGTAAGTTCAGCAAACTTCAAATCCTTCTTTCAGGGGAACCTTAAATCTGGCCATGTGGTACGTAGCTATGCTAGTGGAGAGGAGATTCTGTGGTGACGTCTAGGGTTGTCACGATACTAAAATTTCAAACTCGATTCGATACTGGGAAAAAAACCTCGGTACTCGATTTCGTTACTATTTAAAAACACCAATTTATTGAACAAGTTTATTCAAAAATAACATTCCTCAATTTATATTGCAAAAATTAAATGTTAAGAGTTAAGTGTATAAAGTGCTTAAACCTTTCAAGTATCAGCATTTTTTAAAACGTGCATACAAAAACTGGTGAAAGTTAACACTTTAAATCATGAATGGTCTCACTATATATACACTATTTGCAGAGTGATGTTTTGCTGCTTAAACTCTGTTTAAGGTGCATTTTTGTCATAAGATTTAATGCCATATGTTTTGTTCTGTACTTTTGAACAACTCTGTTGGTCATTAAAGGGAGAAAACGAATTTCTCCACAGTAGGACAAAGGTACATCTACCGGTAATCTTAATAAAAACAGATTGGCGCACGGCAGTGACGTCATTAAAAGCGCCGGTTAGATTAGCCGCAGCTAGTCTGTTCACGCCTAGAAATCCCAGACCTGCTCCAAACGAACAGGGGAATCACGTTAATGATTCCTAACAAAACCTTTCGACATGAAGATGTTTTGGTGCAGATAATGTCTTATTTCGAGGCTGCACCATGGGTGCCCGTCCGCACCCATTATATGGATATACACTGATGGCGATTCGCCGATGGATCTAAATACCCCGGGGAATCCAAGTAGCACCAAAGTTGTCAGTGTGAGTAAACAAACGTACTGCATGCTAGAAATTAAGTCCGGGTTGCAATAAACGGGAGTTTTCCTTTAAGCACATTAGCGTGAATATACAACTACGTGTCGGACTTGGTATGTTAATTAAGTTGGGCTGTGAAGCGCCTCCCAAGTTCGCTGTTTATGTTTTTGTTTATTTATTTGGCAGACAAAACTTGGATCGGAGACAACTCGCGTGGGAAATTGTAATGTAGCCATGCGGCGTCTTCTTCTGTTTGTCTGGGAGGCGGAGGCTGCTTTACGGCATCTGGCTGTCGTGCGTGTCGGTGTACTTGAAGAAGGCTGTGTATAATAGTCCATAATATCGATACCACAGGGATGGAATATCTAATTTAGATACCACTTTTAGTATCGATTTGAGGTATCGATTTTTTTGACAACACTGTAACGTGCCGATGTCTGATTTGTAGTCATGCTAATTAAGCAAATAAATCTCAAAGTTTGTTACTGACATGGTCAAAATACCCATCATTAGTACAACATGTGTGATCCAGGGCCTAAGGCAAAGCGGGTTGGAAAATAGCTCGTTTTGCCCTGCTGACTTGCATTCATTTTTTCATTTTCCCGGGGATCCACGAACCGACCAGAAAGGGAGGAGACTAAAGCTTGGTTTATGCTTGGCACATTTACTTTCTGCTTGGTGATGCGGCTCGCGGATGGAGCGCGCTTCACAACTTGCAGCGTTTATGGTTCATGCGGCTTGTCTCTGCGGTGAGCCAATATTCTCCCAAACTGTAGGGGGCAGCATGGAGCTCTACGGCATGCATCCAACACTACACCATAGTAGAAGTAGAAATTATTGTTGTTTACAACATGGCATTCCAGCATTTTTAACAGCGTCCTCTTCTTTTCCGACAGTGCGAGCTATTTCTCTCCATGAATTATTAACAACATGTTGATCACGGTGATCTCTGAGAGCTGAATCATACAAATGTCTGTATTTATGAACCTCTGCCATACTAGTTCTTGCCGGTCCGCCATGTTTTTCCGCGTCCGACCGTCCGCGTGGTTAGAAACTTTCCTAGGTGCGCTTTGCGGAAATTTTGGGCCGTGCGGAGACGCGGTGGAGGGGCGTGGTTGTTAAAATGACGCAATTTCGCCGCGCGGAGCCGTCAAGCATTAACCAACCTTTACCAGGCGAGCTAATGCGCCAGTGACGTCATTTGTATCTGTACCATTTAAGAACGGTTTAGAGGGCGATGCCTGAGCGTGAACGCGCATGAAGCAGCCTGCTCGACCCGAGCAACTCTCTTTTTCTGTGATTTTACAGAAAAATAGGCAATCACAGTAAAAATGCCAGGGCTCATTTCACAGGACCAGGGCATTGCAGGAGAATGTATGAAGAAGAAATTTATTATTTATATACATGTTTTGGTTGTCAAACTTCCATAATGCCCTTTTAAGTGATGAATAATATCTGATAATTCCTCTAAAGAGACAAGTTCAAATTGGCACCAGGAGGAAAAGCACTGAGGAAAAGAACTAAGGTCAGAAACAGAAAAAAAAAAAATTAAATAGAGGACCTAATCTCCTGGACTTTAAGAAAAAAGCTTGGAATTTGTCACATAAGTTTTGTGAGGGAGCAACACCACTGTCACTTCTTGGATTAACAATACTGTTAAAAACTTTAATAAGAACCTGGGGTCTATGGCTGTTTGCGAGTACCAGGTTACACACAAACTGAGATTTTGCTGATTTTACACAGTTTTGAAAAGCAGACAAACATTCCCGCGGCGACTGCAGAGACACATGCAAACCGTCCTTTTTCTACTTCCTTTCAGTGCGTCGGCACTCATGTCTGAGTGCACGGATGGCACCATTCAGCCATGGCTCAGATTTTGGCTCAGAAATCTCATGGCTGCCGTGGCTAGCAGCTGGATATCCCGTGGCTGGCTGCAAACACCACTATTTGAGCCTGCTGTCTGTCCAACTCGAAAGTCGCATTGTTTCTTTTGATTTAAATTTAAGTGCAACATGTGTGATTCGGGGTGTAAGGCAAAGCAGTTTAGATAATAGCGTTCCCCATAAACTGACCAGATTGGGAGGAAATCTCCTATCAAATGTTTAAATTCCTGATCTGGTTCTGGATCTCTTGTTCCAGTTCTTCAGAACCTCTGAACCAGGCATCACCCATCTCAGTTTTTATTTCCAGCAGCCACACTTCCAGTGTTCTGGATCAGCACTTCTGCTGAATTCCGAGGGTGTTTCTCATTGTTAAAGAACCTCACCTCACCTTGCCTGCCTTGGCTGGGTTAGTTAGGGTTAGCAGCAGCCAGCCTCTTATGAGGACACAGTCAAAGAAAACTGTCAAATGGAACAGACTTACCTCGTTAGGTGACACATGAGGTAACGTTTTATTTCGTACATTTCAATATAAATGTATGAAGGAGCCTTTAACTTTTTAATTGTGTATACATTGGTTAAATTAAATATGTAAGCAAGTTAGTACCTGCTAGCCACCAAAGATTCAACTACTAAGCAGCTAACCAACCATAGGTAACTGCTTTGGACGTAAAAAACAGCCCGACAGCTACAATTAGTTCACTTACATTTAAACTGGAAATTTGCCCCCAAAGTACGTGCTGCTGGCTCCTGATTCGCCATTCTTTTGAAAATACAGTGCTGTATTCTGGTAAATGTTTGACAGAGAAAAGGCAACAAGACACCTCCCATGTATCCTTGCTCAGCTAGCTAAACGGCTAACAAACGGAGGACAGATGCCTCTGTAGCACATGAACATAACACACCATGGTGGTTCCTGATGACGTATTTTCTAGGCAACTGGGGCGGGATCAAGGCGAGGTTCCTTGACATTGAGAAAACTCAGAGTCCTTTAATAATCCATTTTCCTCTCCTTTTCTGTTTGCTGACATCACTTCCTTTCTCCTGCAGATCATGTGGAGCTGGTGAAAAGGACCATGGCAAGCGTGGCGCTGCCATCTCTCGGTGTGCCACTGTGGGCGCAGGAGATCTCTGACGACCAATGGAAGGACATGGTCCAGCACACACTACAGAGCCGACAGAGTTCTGCTGGGCTGTGGCTAACGCGCCGGAGCAACATCTAGGAACCCTGAACTTACTGGGACCACAGGACAATTAAATCTTGAACGATCCATTCCTCCAAACTTCTTGCAGAGCCTGAATGGCATCGATTAGCCTAAAATGTGCCGCAGTGAGCCTTGAATGCAGCGCCCTGGAGAGTTCATTAGCTTGCTTGATCTCCAGCTGCCCGTTGTTCTGATTCTGGATGGAATTTGGATTCAAAAGGTAAAACCAGGAACTGAGAGGCTGATGTTTTCAGGTGATCGGTTATACATTCAGTTAGTCTTGATCCAGTTCTGAGCTTTTACTGTCCTGATGGTTGATTTAACGTTGGTCTTGTGATCAATCAGCACTTTATTGCTTCAAAAAGTCAAAACATGAGTGTCGCTCTGATTGGTCAACGAGTGAAAGCCGGTCTGTTTTTATTTTGAATTTGTAACTTAACATTTGGATCAGAACCTGCCAGTCCAGTTCTGGTAATCCAACTCCTGAGTGTAAAATGATCTTCCTTTATTAAAGTCTGTGAAAGAACCAAACGGCTCAGATGGGTTTGGTTTATTTGTTCTGTACATACATCTGTACAAAATCAGCTCTCACATGAAGTAAACATATGTACACGACAGGAAGCAGCGTTCACGTGTCACCACTTGAGCGCACGTAGCCGTCTGCTGTCACGCGGCCCATGCGTGCGTGCCGCTGGACCAATATGGAGCAGCTCCTGGACCTGGATAAGATGTTTAAACTTCTGATACTGGTGATGGGCGGGGCTATCACAGCTGATGAAATGGTCATTTGGTTCTGATTAACTTCTCTGAAGAACACGCCCACTCAATAGATGGAAGAGCTTTGATGAACAAAACAAAAAAGGTCACGAGAGCGTGGCCAATGGGGAGAGTTCAGATGGCTCCGCCCACCTCAGTGAGTTCTCAAAAATACTGGAGACAATAAAAATAGTCTCAGCTATTTGAACAACTTCACATTCAGAGAAACAGGAAGTTGAACATTTCTGCTGGTCATGTGACATCAGCTCAACACAAACTATAAAGCCAGAAAGATCTGTGTGTTTACATTTCAGCTCATAGTTCTGCCTTCATCACACTAGTCAGTATTTAACTTGGTTATGGTGGGCCACGCCTCCTCAGCAGAGTTCTGATTGGACATACAGCACCTTGTTTGGTTGTAATGCCTTGTTGAATGCACTTTATAAATAAAATTGGAATTGGAATTTACATTCAATATGTCTCAGTTCATCGGAAGCTGTAGCTCCAAGCTGACAGATGATTGGTTCGTTCAAGAAGGGGGCAGAACCACAGACCTGAGCTTCATTGTAGCAGGCCAGAGTTTCCCACTTCACCGAGTCTGGAAACTCAGCTCGACCTGCTTCACAGGCCACTATTTGAACCCGAGTCTACAGAAAGTTAGTTCAAACCTTAATCAGAACTGATGCCTGGGCACGTCCTGATGAAATCACTATTTGTGCAAACCATAACACTTTGAGGTAAGATCAGATTTTTTATTCCACTGAACATCTGGAGTGAGCCAAAATGACCATTTATACACCAATAATAACGACGTGTGAAGAACAGCGGCTATCGTTCAACACCTGTAGCTGCAGGTACATGTGTCACAGTGATGATGTCATCATGTCAGTGACATCAGTTCGTTTCTGAATGCACCTGAATCACAACACTTTCTGCTGAGAAGCATCGGTGGGAGCTTGAACACACACCACAGGCTGTCAGTTCCTGCGGTGGAAATTGCTGCAGGTGATGCATTCAGGTACTTCACACATGACAGCGGTAAAGTCCAGAAGAAGCATTGGCTGAGGGGGGTGGCATGATTATGTCCAGTCACAGTGGAGCACTGACACACGTTGGACGGTATGTGGACAGTCTGAGTTTCTAGTGTCCTTTTAATCAGCTACCAGGCGCTGAGCTGAGTTTCTCATCTTTTTTGTTAGAACGTAGCATCAGCTCTGTCCTCATCTGATCGTCCACAGCAGCAACAAGCTCCTCCCTGCAGAGATGGGTAGAAGGAAGGGGACTGAGCTGGGCTCAGGAGGGGTTGCCTCCCCTGGTCAGAGAGCCTCCTGATTGGCTGTCAGGTACTCCTCGGCCCTCTTGTGAGCTTCCAACGCTTTGATGGTGTAAACGTCCTGTGGCAGTTCTGACTTTCTCCGCATCAGGACTTTGTCCTTCTTCAGATCCTTCAGACCCTTGGGACATAAAACATATTTTAATCCAGAGTAATAAACATGAGACAGGAATTAAAGGTGTTGTTCACTGAAAAACCATTTGTAATGATTATTCCTGATTATAATGGGTCACTGAGTGTTTCATGCAGGCTGAACATGAAAATAGTCTCCTACACCTATCTCCTGCATTAGCTTCTGACAGAAAACAGATGGTGATTTCTTTCTTTCTTTCTTTCTTTCTTTCTTTCTTTCTTTCTTTCTTTCTTTCTTTCTTTCTTTCTGTCTGTCTGTCTGTCTGTCTGTCTGTCTGTCTGTCTGTCTGTCTGTCACCTGTGGTGATGGTGGCAGTACCTATTAGAATTATATGGGTGTGCGGTTTTTTTACCACATGCCACACCATGATGCAAAGTTTTTATTCCTTGTAATTCTGTTTGTACTTCTAAAGCAACAGCACAATAATATAAAGGCAGCACAAGTAAAATAAATAAGATCATCAAAGCAAGACAACATTTGGAATTGCTTGTTGAAGCATGTCAAAAAACACCTCTCCGCCTCCACTCAGCTGAGTGACCTACAATTAAGTCACTACACCTAGTGTTGTTTAAAACACAACTAAAAACCCTAATGTACTCATCAGCCTTTAAATGAATTGTTTCTTATCATGTGTCGTCTCCACTGTAATCTTTGCTGTAACTTTGTCTTCTCCTTTAGTTCTAAACTGTAATTCTATCTGTGTGTATTTTCATGTGTTTTAATGTGTTTTCATATCATGTCCTGATGATTGTAAAGCACACTGAACTGCCTCTGTGTTTGAAATGTGCTCTATAAATAAAGCTGTCTTGCCTTGCCGTCTGTTGGTGTGATACATAAGAAAGGTGATTTGGCGTTCCCTGGTGGTGATATGTGCATAGTGCATCTGAAATCCACCCAGTTCTCCCAAATGCAAATTTCAGACTTAATTAGAATTATGAGTGACGAGGCTATTTTTAATACATGCATAATGTGAACACTTCTAATCCATGTTTTTCCTGAAAACCTTTGGTTTTTGACTAGAAATATGATAAAAGGATGATTAAATATTTACGCTTTTGACATGTTAGACTAATGTTTAGTGAGTATTTTAATATTTTTTTTCTGCCTGTTTGACATTTGCTGTGGGTTTACAAAAACAGGAATGTGACTCAAAATTACAAATTGTTTAAATATTTATTATTATTTTCAAATAAACTGTAACTTATTTTATTTATCTGCCCGTTAACCATCAGTTTGTAAGCAGGCAAATGGATTTGAAACATGTGAATAGTACAAATAAAAATAAACCTCATTATTCACATGCACCATCCCAAAACAGGTCATGCAAACCTCAACTGACATGCTCTTTTCATCACATCACTTGTTAAATTGCACCCCACCAAAAATATATATATTCATCCGCCACCACTGGCTGCCACCTTACTGTGGTGGAGTTTGAGTGTCCCAATGATCCTAGGAGCTAAGTTGTCTGAGGCTTTATGCCTCTGGTAGGGTCACCCATGGCAAACAGGTCCTAGATGAAGATTCAGACAAAGCGCAGCTTGGAGAACCCTTATGATGTGCAACAGTGTACCCTTGCCTGGACGCAGGCCACCGGGTCCCCCTCTGGAGCCAGGCCTAGAGTTGCGGCACATTGACAAGTATTGGTGGCTGAGCGTTAACCCATGGAGCCCGGCCGGGCACAGCCCGAAGAGGAAACATATGTCCCCTTTTCAACACTCGTGGGACGGGCCAAAGGGGTTGGGCGCAACTAGGGATGTGTACCTTTAACATTTTAATTGATACGATACCAATACGTAACCAATTTCTGATAACTTTGAGTGTTTTTATTAATTAAATGTATATTTTTCTCTCAATATATAACCCTATTTAGGTGGATTGGTGCTGTCTGCAGTGATGTGGACGTTATATTGGTCTGTCACGGTGAAAAGAGAGCTCAGACGCTTCCCTGGTCAGGTTTTTCCAGACATGTCCAATTGGGAGGAAGACCCAGGACATGCTGGAGGGACTATGTCTCTTGGATGGCCTTTGGATCATCCCGGAAGAGCTGGCCCAAGTGGCTGGTGTTACGCCTCAGTACTCCCAACGGCTCTGTTCCTGCGCCCATGAGGTCAGCACCGCGGACAGCGTTCTGGTTGGGATGGAGCATCCTTTCAGCTGGCTCCAGCTGCAGCTACTCTCCTTGTTTACCTCACTGCCGTTAAATGAGTGCAGCTGGAGGAGGAAAAGAGGTGTGAGGGGCCAGAGGGACAAGCGCCAAACCCAGATGCCCAAAACCCAGACGGGGAACCGGAGAGGAAGTGGTCCTCCTCGTGATCCTTGGATCCAGTGAAGGGTTTGAAAAGCAAGAGTTTTCATGAACTGAGTGAGAGGTCGGCTTTTCAGTTATTTCCTTTGGGTGTTTAGAAACGGTAAAGCCGTCCTTGTGTGTTCCCGGTCGTTTTGGCTATTTTTATTTAAGAAATGTGAGACGGGAAAGTTTGCTCCACAGAAACACAACTCAGCAGAAAGATGGTGGACATTTTCTCAGTTTTATGGCTTTTTGTCAGACTCTGAACCAGGAAATGGCTGCAGGCAAAAAACTCAAGAGCAACCAGTGACTCCGCCCCCTAGCCAATCAGTGGCCAGAATCACGATGCCGCCCGACTAAGCCTTGGCAGGTACCTCAACAGAGCAGGGACTAAAAGTAGAGGGAAAATACAGAACCGTGCCCTTGGGAACAGCGGCTAGGCCGAGCTACTCTGAGTGGTGCTCCTGGGAAACCACCTTTATATATACATGATGTTTAAACAATATGAATTGTGAGAAATGACAATATTTTCCAACAAATTTGTAATATTAACATGTTTCCTATCAGTCTTCTTCCTGAACGAGTGATGGTTTTTGGCAGCTGAACTGAGGAAATGACATCAAACAGGAAGTTGAGCCCTGCTGAAACACTCATTTCTGTAGCCGTTTGGTGTCAGTGTAATAAAGCTTCTATTACATTCTGAGTTACAAATGAATAAATAATAAAAAATACCTAAACGGACAACTTGGATGCTTTCTACTTTTTCTTAGTAATTTAATGAATTGCTGAAGTATTGGACCGGGACTCGGTATGAAAATCCAACTACTCACACTTGGATCACGGGCAAAAACAAGTGATCAGAAAACTATCTTTTAAAGACAAAGTTAGCAAAAAAAAAAAAACACACATTTTACATTTTAAATGTGTCTATGGGGAAGTTTTGCACCTGCTTTTGCAGATGTTTGAAGGCTACTTTTAAAACCCCTGTACTGTAACACTCCATCATCTCTGTTCATGGTTTTGTGCCCACGCCTCCTTATTTCTATCGCCTCTTTGTATTTTCATTTTGTAATCCAGGTCTTGTTCTGTTCCTACACAGGTAAGGAAAAACCAGCAGATGAAGGAAGAACCACAGTTACGATGGACAAAAAATACAAACAACAGATGGAACCGATTCTAGAGGACAGAAACGCATATGTATGGTGTGTGTGTGTGTGTGTGTGTGTGTGTGTGTGCGTGCGTGCGTGTTTGCATGCACATGTGTGTGTGTGTGTGTGTGTGCGCATGGGTGTGTGTATGCATGTGTGTGTGCACGCGCGTGTGTGTGCGTGTGTGTGTGTGCAGTGGCGGACTGGTAATCGGAAGAAACGGGAGATTTCCCGGTGGCCTGGCCGTTAAACTGGCCCGCTCAGTGATTGCCGGTCACGACGTGCGTAATATCTAAATGAGCAATCCGTCATGCAGCTCATCAGTGCATCTGCTCTCCTGATGCTCACACAAACGGAGCAAACTGGAGACAAAGACACCCCCTCCCCTCACTTTGTCAGGGTCTGGCAAAGTGCTGCAGACACCCACCACCCCAGAGCGGCTACGGCACCACTGCACCTTTGGCCCTAGAGGCAAAATGGACCAAGACGGACCAGGAAAGGTGGAGCAGAAAAGGAGAGACTGAAAAAGGAAGAAAGCTCTGGCCACAGATGCATGTCCAGGCTGGGCTGTAGGTGGTCATGTTGGGAGAACCGGTTTAAGGTGGAGTTTTTGGGCCAGTTTAATTATCGCGCAGTGTGCAATGCTGGGCACATGGAGTGGGTTGGGAAGGGAGACACAGCGGCTGTGAGGAACGGATCATTATGATCAGGTTCTGATGATCAGATCATCAGACTCATCCTTTAGGGACGGAGAGTAGTGCATTGGACCGGTACCAGCACCGCCGCCACTTTTAAATATAACCTTTCAGCATGCCAGCACTTTTTCTAGGGTACAGTGCATACCGGTAAATTTCCAGGTATTCATTAGTCGAAATGTCCTAGAGGCAAAATGGACCAAGATTTTTTAAAAGATATCTGTGTGTCCTCAAACATCAGTCATCCACAGTCTGGCACGAGATGCATGAAGGGCCGCATTTTGCGCAAAAGGCGCATCACTGCCGCGAGGCGCGCCGCGTGTCACCATCAGCTCAGGAAGAGGAGAGAAATTAAAACTGTTTCCCCTCACCGTACACATTCCCGCAATGACTGACAGCAGCATCAGCTGACCAACAGTGGAGGAGAAACGGTTTCTAGACGGAAATATGGACCGTGAGCAAACACACGACATAAGAGGAGTGTGCTTCACTTGAAATTTTGTGGCCATAAACATCTGATGATGCTGATCATGAGACAGATGAGATGATAATTCTGACCTGGACTGATCTGGATTAGATTTCACATCAGCCCTGATGATCATTTATGACATTTCATGTTAAATGCATGAACCTTCACCTCTGGCGTATTGTCTTTGGTTCATAACCTTTAAACCCCCTATTATTATTATTATTGTTGTTGGTGTTTATATGAATATTATAAGGAAAACATCCATGTATACTGGTCTGTCAGTACATATGGATGCCAGAGATGTGTGCATCTGCAAAAGGCTTCTTCCATTGTTGAGGCTGTCCATTTAATCTGTGCCTATGTTGTAAACCTAAATGACACTAATGATGCAGTCATTTAGCAATGGGACCCCCCCCCCCCCCCCCCCCCACACACACACACACACTTTTTATGTCTCTTGCTTGTGGTGTGATTCTCTTGACCCAGACATGTAGTGTGGTACCTGTTAGTCTTAAGTTCAGGTGGATGGTGGTGTCTGGCCTATATCATCTAATGTGCAGGAGGCACGTTTAACAGCATAAAATAGAATTTCAGGTTATGCAACATAAGCACAGATTATAGCAGCAGAACACAAATATTTATATTTTAGAGGAAAGAATCAGGGCACATGTGAAGATTTAATTTAATTGTTTTTCACTTTTACATCAGTAGGCGCCCAACCTGACCCACTTTTAGTGTTTAACGTGAATTGGGCGGTGGCCTGGGATGGTTTCAAAATTCCCGGCCTGAATTAATATCCCAGTCCACCCCTGTGTGTGTGTGTGTGTGTGCACGCGTGTGTGTGCGAGCGTCTGCGTGTGTGCGCGTGCATGTGAGTGTGTGCGTGCGTGTGTGTGTGTGTAGGAGAGCATGTGTGTGTGTGTGTGTGTGTGCCAGGTACAAAGTTTGTTTAAGGTTGCCACATTTTTCCATCAGCTTTTTTCTTCATTGATATCAGAGCCACTGATGCCGTTTATAGAGCCCGTTACCCGTCATATAAAACATGTTCCTGCCAGCTGAATTCAAACTAAACCTCTGCTGTAATTCTCCTGAGGGACTCTAGCTTATAACCCTGATTGAAGGTGAACCCTTCAGGTGTTTGTACCTGTGAGGCTTGGCTCTCCACAGTCTTCTTCAGCAGCTGGATGTCCTCAGCTGTCGGAGTCTCTGTCTCCATTGAGTAGATGGCCACACCACCGTCGCCATACATGTACTGGCAACACAGCAATGGCCCGTCAGACAGCCGCATTCACACACACACACACACACACACACACACACACACACACACACACACACACACACACACACACACACACACACACACACACACACACACACACACACACACACACACACACACACACGACTATAACTCAGGCTCACCTCCTCCTGACGGTGGAGTCCAGGATGGAAGGGGCGGAGCTTATTACTCTGAAAGTAAACAGGACAACATTGTGAACATTTCTTGTTTAGTTTTCTTTCAGCTTTAGTCGTTTCAGGGTCTTCCAGGTTTGAATCAGACCCTGCAGCGACATCTCAGAAAGTTTCCGAGGTCAGTAACAATAAACAAATAAATAACAATAAAAGCATTGATATGCCATAAAACAAACTTCTCTGCAGTTTGTTAACCTAGCGTTAGAAAATGACTCTTTAAAGGTGAAAATTTCTAATCAATTTAAAAGCTTCTAAATTAATTTATAAACCAACACAAGATTTTTATACATTTTTACACCCGAAATTAGAAGCTACCTGACAAAACATAAGGATTGGGAGTATAGAGGTGAACAAGCACATGAAACAGAGACACGGTTTATTTACAAGTGCTGCAGGTGGACATGGGTAATTACATGCATATGAGGGTTAAATGGGAAACGGGAGGAATCATTTACAGAAGGTCATAAAATGTTCAATAGTGTCACATGGAGAGTACCCTAGCAGATACCAAACATAGGAAAAGATCTAGTAGGTGTTGGAGAGGATGTGGACAAGTAGGCAGCTACATTCCTTTATTTTGGGAGTGTCCTAAACGTTAGAATATTGGAAAAATATAAAGAAACAGACAGAAAAAGGTTAGTGGAAATGTGGATTTATGTGTGCAGTTATATCTATTGGGTATCGTCATCGGTCCCAGTTCACATAAGGACGATGATTAGAATACCAAGTATAGCAGCAACACCATGCAGGCTTGGGCCTCGACCTCCAGAAGAAAAGCAATGGTTGGATAGAAATACAGGAGAATGGAAAACGTAACTGCAGGACTAATGGAGGAGGCCTTACTGTTAGAGGGAATGGAGATCTACCGTATTTTCCGGACTATAAGCCGCTACTTTTTTCCCACGCTTTGAACCATGCGGCTTATAATGAGGTGCGGCTTTACTGAATATTTTCTTTCACCTGCCAGGGGGCGCTGTAGCAGAAAGTGAAACAGGTGGAAGTCAAAAGTGGAGATCGAAGAAAGTGCTCATTTTAATTTAGCACATGCAAGCAGCCGGCACCACAAAGATTATTTTTAAAAATCCATACCCCCTCATCATGGTAACTACACGTATGAGTTCATATGATGCCGCATTTAAGTTGAAGGCCATCGATCTGGCAGTAAAGGAGGGAAACAGTGCTGCCGCACGTAAGCTTGGCATGAATGAATCCATGGTTCTGCGCTGGAGACGGAAGGTCTCATTCAAGCCAGTTTCACCCGGGGATGATGACAGCAACACGGAGAGTGACACTGACATCGCCACGGAAAAGGTATGTGACGAAGCTTTTCTGAGGCTGTTCAACTCCGACACTGAAGATGATTTCAGTGGTTTCAGTGCGCAGGAGGACGATGAATAAACTAATCAATAACTTTTCTGTTTTGTTTGATACTGATCAGTTCAGCTACGTTCAGTTAAACTATGTTTTCAATTCAGTAGATATCTGTGGCTTTTAGCCCGGTGCGGCTTATATTGAGGTGCGCTCTATAGTCCGGAAACTATGGTAATCACCTCATTTATTCATCTCTGATTTTAGTTATGAAGTTAACCATTTGTTGAAATGTTTATTTAAATGGTCTGTTTGGTGTGGTGGTTCAACACGTCCCCACACCCAAAGTGTAAAAAAATGACGAAGAGTGAACAAACGTAGTGCCAGAGCGTTGTTTTCCCACGCCCGCGGTAAAACGGACATTTAACCTCTAACCTCTAGTGATTTAACTTCCCCTCGCCCCATCCAAACCTTAACCCAATTTCTCATTCTAAATTTCCAGTTAACCGTGTTTGAGAGGGACGACACAACAAGAAACAAAGTAGGATGGGGGTGAGGGGAAAGTTAAATGGCAAGAGGGTAAAGGTCACAGTTGGCTAAAATCTCCGTTTTACCGTGGGCGTCGGAAACACACGCTCTGGCACAGCGCGTCACCATTGTCATTTGTTGACACTTGGGGTGTGAGAACGTGTTGGGTGGCTGAGGTGAATGCACATGGGGGGGGGGGGGGGGGGGGGGGCAACAGCTTAATGTGTTAACATGTAACTCGGTACATCTATGCTAACAATTTAGTTATAGTATGTAGAAATACAGCTGTTTAGTTCTCTGTGTGCTCTGGAAACAGAATAGAAGGTGACTTGTTGTTATCGATGAGAAGTGACGCGTTAGCACAACCGAACGGCTGATCTACTCTTCCTCGTGTGTCGTGTAACTGTTGATGTGAGACCGATGGGGAACGCTAGAAGAGACGCTTCAGAAACATCAGAGATGAACACTAATGTGCTGCTGGCCCTCAGGCTTTCCATAACTTTGACATATTTGTAAATTCAGCAAACCAAGCACCTTCTGCTGAGTTGGACCAGGAAGCTGAAGCAGCTGGATGTCACGTTCTGCCCCTGCCTTCCTGACTGTGTCTCTCTCCTGCCCTGATTAGCCCTTATTGTTCTCACCAGCCCCTCGTTAACCTGCCCATGTGTTTCTGATTTCCCTGTATATTTATACCTCCCTCCTTGTACCAGTCTTTGTCAGATCATTGTTTGTAGTCATCGTTGTTTTGTTCCTGTCGTTCCCATTCCACCATTAAAACCATTTTTATTTTTTCATCCGTGCCTGCTCTCCTGCCTCCTGAACTCTCCACCACACATGGTCCATCATCTCCACACCCGCAACATGACAGAATGATCTGACCAACCTGGACCTGTGGTGAGCTCTGCAACATCTGCCTGGAGGATTTTTTTTTTTTTTGCTTTTTCTCTTTTTCAGCAGAGGGAGATTCCGTCCTGAGGGGCTTTCGGCGCATCCTACAGGTTTTCGGGGTGGTCGAGCCCATTTGGGAGATTTTGGCGCATCCTACCTGTTCTCGGGGTGGTCAGAATCATTTCTCCTCTTCTGCTGTTTCGCCCCGTCCTGTTTTCCCACGGAAGCTGCGGATCCTGGAGTTCTGATGGAGTGAATCGGGATGTGCACCTGCTCCGACCGTATGTCGAGTACCTGCCGCCGAGCTGGTTTTCCTTGCATCGCTCCTGCAGTCTCATCTACTTCCTGGTCCACGTCTGCGGGGCCTACGCCTGCAGGTCCTTCATGCTGCAGCCTCTACAAGAGTCCTGCTACTGCAGCCCAAACCAGAGCTCATGGAACTCTCAAAGACCAGAGTTGTGCTGCCTATATCAGAGGCCCCTGCTCTGCCAACCCAGTGTTCGAGTTTCCAGTGTCCGAGTTCCTGAGTCTACGTGTCCAAGTTCCAAGTGTTCCAGTCTCCCGAGTCCAAGTGTTCCAGTCTCCCGAGTCCAAGTGTTCCAGTCTCCCGAGTCCAAGTGTTCCAGTCTCCCGAGTCCAAGTGTTCCAGTCTCCCGAGTCCAAGTGTTCCAGAGTCCCCGAGTCCAAGTGTTCCAGTCTCCCGAGTCCAAGTGTTCCAGAGTCCCCGAGTCCAAGTGTTCCAGAGTCCCCGAGTCCAAGTGTTCCTGAGTCCCTGAGTCCAAGTGTTCCTGAGTCCCTGAGTCCAAGTGTTCCCGAGTCCCCGAGTCCAGCGTTCCCGAGTCCTGTGTTCTGGTGTTCCCTAGTCTCCTGTGTTGTGTGGCCTTGTGTGCGTCTGGTATCCGACCCTTAAGGGGGGGTACTGTCACGTTCTGCCCCTGCCTTCCTGACTGTGTCTCTCTCCTGCCCTGATTAGCCCTTATCGTTCTCACCTGCCCCTCGTTAACCTGCCCATGTGTTCCTGATTTCCCTGTGTATTTATACCTCCCTCCTTGTACCAGTCTTTGTCAGATCATTGTTTGTAGTCATCGTTGTTTTGTTCCCGTCGTTCCCATTTCACCATTAAAACCATTTTTATTTTTTCATACTGCCTGCTCTCCTGCCTCCTGAACTCTCCACCACACATGGTCCACCATCTCCACACCCGCAACATGACACAGGAACAGAGGTGTGTGTATATTTACCCATCATTAGCGAGAAGGTATCAAAGGGGAAATTAGAATCTATCTAATATTTCCTTCCTGTATTTAAAGTTTAATACAAACAGAATCAACACAGGCTTTTAGCCCATGAGAAACTGGTTTTCCTGCGACCAGGAGCAGACTGGGACAACAATTCAGGCCGGGAATTCTAAAACCATCCCAACAACCGATTTATGCTAAACTAAAAGTGAGTCAGGTTGGACGCCTACTGATGTAAACGTGTAAAACAACTAAGTTACAGCTCCACATGTGCCCTGATGCTTTCCTCTACTGCGGCTATAACCTGTACTTATGTTGCATAAACTGAATTTCTATTTAATCCTGTTAAACGAGCCTCCTGCACATTAGATGAGACAGACCAGACACCATCATCACCTGAACCTGAGACTAACAGGTTCAGGTGAGAGGAGACTCTCTGCTCTGGCCATCTTTACTCTGCTCTACCTTAAAAACTACAATAAATAACAATAAACTGGCTGAGCTTTAGAAAAGGTGTGTCGAGGTAAAGCCATCCTACGGTAAGCAGTTCTGCTCGATTCTTTATTATAAGGAAATCTGTCAAACATCAGAGGCAATGATTGTGATAGACTGTAGTTTCCTTCCCTCAGCACATGCTTCTGCCTGACTTGGCCTGTTGAGTAGATCTGATTTCAACACCCACTCCGCTTGATTTATACCAGTTTGAGCCCAGTTTAAAATATCAGCTGAGTTTAAACTGGGATTTATTTTAGGTGGTGCAACACGGCTCTGCTTAACTGTAAAACCCAGTTCAAGTCATTTTAAACCTACTGTAGCTAATCTAGCATTGGTGCTAGTCTTAGTTTAGAGCTGGTTGTGCCATCCACCCTGTCAGTAACAACCGTTTTATCTGGTCTCTTCTGGAAGGACGGTGGCTCCTGAGGGAAACCCTAACCCTTTCAGCTCCACTTGCAGCTGTATTAAATATGACCTGCTGGCTGACCCGGTGAGACTTGAACCTCAATGTTTTATCTGACGGATCCAGGTTCTGATGAG